TTAGCAAACACCATACAAACTTTAACCATGATTTTAATTGGACGAAACCAAAAATATTACATAGCGAGCATTTCAGAAGGAAAAGAGAAATCGCGGAAATGTTTTTCATAAAGAAGACCGATCATACAATAAACTTACAAATAGACACTGAAAATTTAAATGCTATATACGACGTTGTAATCAACACAATATAGACCTTATCACCTTGCAACGCTCCTAAAACATGACCGAGCATTAGTTCCAGCCCAACTATCACAGTGCTCACATGTACCGAAAATTTATAATATGACACGGTCTCTTCCGACATGACGACATACTTAGGTTTGTTTTTTAATTTATACTTGTTTTATAATTTAAGTACCTAATTTATATCTTCAATTGGTATTTAATTTACATCTTGCGTATCTCATCCTACTCACCATGACTTACCATTGTTCGCTGTAATCTCACCGTACCGTAACCTATTTCGTTTACTCACCAATATTATACCTGGTTTATTTTATTTTAATTTTATTTTTATTTCTAATTTTATTACTTCACAATTTAATTTATACATACACTACGTATTAGACTTTATTATCATGACTTACACTAGTCTACCGTTTTTAATTTAATTTATACTCGACTTATTTATTATAATTATTGTTTTATGTATTATGATTGTTGTTGATTGCAGTATTACTTGAAAAGGACCCAAACCAGGGTCGAAACGTTGTAGTATCTACTTAAATAAAGCTACTAGCCAGTTGGGTTGACCATAAGTCCCTGTTAGAATATAGAATAACTTTATACAGCATATATGTATAGAGATATACATATAATTTAACATACATATGCAGTAACTCAATATACGTATGACTAAAAAATCTCATAACATACTCAATATACGTAAAAATTCCTAACATACTATATACTCAATATACGTATGATTAAAAAACATGAATTGTAGAATGTTCGAGATTAATTTGAATCTCGTTTATTTCATCCCTGGCGTGATGGCAGCATCAGCCGGGTCAGATCGTGCAGCGCCGCATGAGCGCTGCTCGCGCATGCCCGATCACGACACGAGGCGACCGCGCGACTTCACGTACGTTTCCGGGGCTCTTTGTCTCATGGCGACCGTACGTAGTACACGCGTCTTGAAGTGCGGATAGTTATCCAGTGCTCTTTTGTGGACTTTCTCATCTTCTCACCTTCTTACTTTCTCATCTGCTCATCCGAGAATAGACTCAGTGAAAGACACAGTGAATCCATCAGTGCGGCTCATCCCGGACAGCTCGAGTGCAGCATCAACGGCGGCTCAGACTCACCACGCACCGCGCACGCCGGCGCCGCGTGGACACACGGCTCACGGGCATCAACTCACCATGCCGGCCATCGATCAATAATATCGACCCGTGCACGTGAATACAGACTTATCATACCGAATTGACTTGTATCGACTTCTCAGATCTCACATTTACAGACTTTTACATTTGCCGAAACTTTCACATGTAATTCGTTAAAGTATTAAACCTGTGACATTTCATTTTACATCAACTCGTCCGAGTCTTTAGATCACGTGATGTTCCACCCTAATTAAGCGTGCATTCGCTCCTTGAGTCTTGTCGCTACGTCCTCTCACCCTGCTTCCATCCGCAGCGGTACCAGCGAACTCTCCTAGCGAGAATCGCTAACATTTTTGGTCCTTCGAGCCGGATAGCGACGGGGCGGATCAGCTCAGCCACGCATCGCTCACGTGATCAGCAGCGCTCATATACACAGTGACACTCATCGATCACGTGATACCACGTCTCTCTCACGTGTCATCTCACCATGTCGGACGATCAGAAAACGGGCAAGGCAGACCGCCCGGTGACTCAGCAACTGGAATTGCGGCCGGGAGATCGCTTATCCTCGAGGACGGCGTCTCCAGTTCGGCTCTCCACGGAACTCGCCCTGAAGGTGCAGACGCAGCTGGGTCGGATCTCCACTCTCAAGGCCATCGCAGAAATTCTCCCGGAGTCTCTTGCAGAGACTTCTGTTGAAGAGGTAAATCAGCTCTGGCTTCAAATTGAGGAGACGCACAAGGCGCTCCTCAAGGAACACGCCTACTTCGAGGTCTCATGGCCCTCTGCACTCACTCATCACGAGCATTTCTCGGGGAACGCTCATCAGGAGGAAACGCTGTGCCACACGCAAGCGCAACGCATCATCGGCGTACTCCGCCACTCACTGATAGCTTCGTCCGCTCAATCAACCTGTGGTTCGTCGGTCACGCCCTCGAACTGAAGAGACGGTGCAATCGTCGAGACCCGCTCACACGTCTGCTCACCCTGCTCAACATTACTCGCCACAGCCTTGGCACTGATCAGCTCATCCACCACTCATTACTCAGCGCGTCTACTCATTGACGCAAGCTCAGAACTCACCTTCGTCACGGAGAATCTCATTCGGCAGCTCAACATCCCTCGTCAATACTCAAGTATTGTCGTCACTGGAATTACAGGCAAGGAGTGTACTCAGACACGAGGAGTCGTGTCACTTACGTTACGCTCGACACATTCCAACTCAAATGCCACAGTTCAAGCTCATGTCCTCCGGACAGTTACATCAATCGTACCATATTTCGAAGCAGAACCGGAAGAATGGCCGCATCTCAGAAACTTGGCATTAGCCGATCCAGACTGTCTCATCCCGCGGCCTGTTGACATCCTCATCGGAGCAGACGCTTACGGGCAAATCATCAAGCCCAATATTATTAGACATTCTCCACTCATGCCGATAGCGCAACTCTCCATTTTCGGATGGCTCGTTCTTGGACCAGTCAACAGAGAAGCAAGACGCACATCAACGCATCGTGCTGCTACTCAATTCAATAAGGATGCTCTTAATGAGCTATTGACGAAATTTTGGATTCAAGAGGAGGTGCCTACTCACGATGTCACTCAGTTCACTCCTGACGAGCAGAGGTGCGAGAAGCACTTCAAGACTACACACTCTCGTGATTCTTCAGAGAGGTACATCGTCAGGATTCTACTCAACTCACCAGTAGATCTTTTGGGTGATTCTTACAACGTCGCTCATCAATGTCTGAAGGGATTACGCAGACGATTCTCAAGGGATGTGAATTATCAACGTCTCTATCAACAATTCATGATTGACTACGAGACACTCAACCACATGACGAAGGCATCATCCATCTCCAGTCATCGCTCACATTTTCACCTGCCACATCACGGTGTTCTCAAGCCGGACAGTATTACAACGAAACTGCAGGTAGTTTTTAATGGCTCTAGCGCATCCACATCAGGCTACTTGGTCAACGACCTCATGTACACTGGAGCAAAGCTACATCTGAACATCTCAGATGTTCTACCATGGATACGTAGACATCGTTACATTTTCGCTATGGACATCACCAAAATGGACAGACCGATTCAGATTCACAAGGATGACTGGGAGTTACAGCGGATACTCTGGATGGACAATCAGCTCAATGAGGTGCCATATCATTCAACAACGGTCACTTACGGGACGAAGGTCGCACCATTCTCAGCCGTACGGACCTTGTTACAATTAGCAGAAGACGAAGGACATAGTTTCCCACTGGCTGTGCCAGCTATCACTCACGGCAGATATGTCGATGACATATTTGGTGGTGCAGATACCGTGCAACAATTACAGGAGGTTGCACCTCAACTAAGGGACCTCTGCATGGCGGGCGGCTTTCCGCTAGCAAAATGGCATGCAACTCATCTCGACATACTCAAGACTGTCACCGACAGCCAAGACCAAGGCTTACCAATCACCTTCGACGATTGCGCAACCAAGGTACTCGGACTCAAATGGCTCCCTCAAGAAGATACATTTGCATTCTCAACTAGGAACTCACGCACTGAAGGCAGACTCACAAAACGCCTCGTCTTATCTGAAGTGGCTCAGATGAAGTGACTCGATCCACTTGGTTTTGCATCACCCGTCGTGATCAAGGCCAAAATTCTCTTGCAGGAGCTGTGGCTGCACAAGCTCCAATGGGATGACCCACTGACATCCCAGCTCTCAACCCGGTGGCTCATCCGCTGTTAAAGCATTAATGAGTTGATTTGGGACATGAGGCCCTTCGCGGTCATGTGCGATACCATTGGCTGGCGCAGCCTGATCATGCGCGGCCCTCCCTCCCCCCTTCTTGCCGTTAGTTATAGGCGAGGCGCACGCGGCGCACGAAAAAGAAGTTAGTTCGGTTGCGACATTCCTACGAGGAAGTTCACTGTAAGAGGCGTAAGCCTCAATACAAACAATAAAGACTGAACCGAAAGAACATAAGTGTCTTAACCGCCCGTTCCCGAGGACCACCAGACCGGAGAACACGGCGGAGAGCGTACGAGCTCGCAGGCGCCCTAGCAAACGAGCGAAGGTGCCACCTAACCACGAAACATTGGTCCTTCGAGCCGGATTCACCGGACGTAAGCAACCGAATCCAGTCGAGCACAGTCGGCAGATTCGACATCGGTCATCTGCCACTCGACATTCATCAACGATCCAACGCGGTCTCCAACGAGGGGATCGGCGCGGATCCGCAACCAAAAGACGTAACGACACGGCGTCTCAGCGGCCATTCAGGCATAAAGCAGGGTTCTCTACTAACAGAGGAGGACCGTCCACTCGGCGATACTTCGGC